CAACCTCTTTCCCCATGGAGCTGGGCCATGTCCTCTCCCCCCACACCTGTATTGGGGCCAGGCAATGTCCCTTCCCCCCATGGGACTGGGCCATGCCCCCTTCCCTGCTGCAGGGCTGGGTTAGGGCCAGACCACACCCCCTTTCCGCTCCAGGGTGGAGCCATGCCCCCTTCCTCCTCCTGTGGGGCTGGGTCAAGCCCTCCTCCCCTGCATCGCCAGGTTGCCCCTCACCTTCCTCTGCATGGCTGGATGGTGCCCACTGCACCTACCCCAGGCACTGGATTGGGACCACCAGCTGGATCTGGCCTGTGGACCAACTGGGCACTGTCCATTTGGTCCCCCAGGAAAAAGGGCTGAGCACCACTATTGCATGTGGGATAGATAAACCGTACCTGGGAAACAGTGCGGGATGCCTGAATCAGGTCAAAACTCCAACACTCACAGGTTCAGTGTGGTCCAACCGGGATAATTGCATTCACAGTTTCGCTGTTTTCCCTTAACCAGTGACACTCTTATGTGCATTTATTTTTTCTTTTGTTTTCTTTAGGGTAAAGTGTGTTTTGGATAAGAAATTCCTATAGAAGCTCATGTTCTTTGTGTTTCTACGACAACATTGTCTCTGAAGGGCATAACTAAGAACTAAGAGCACCCAAAACTAGATGGACACTGGAAAAACAATGTTTAAGCTACTTGGGGTTAGGTTATAAGCATCTCTAGCATTTTCCACTTGTAGATGTCAAAGCACTCTAACTTCATAGGTAGGCATTGCTAACCTTATAGTACAGACAGAGTATCTGAAGTATACAGAGGTTAAGGATCTGATTCAAAGCTCACTGAAACAAATAGACTTTTCACTGATTTAGATGCCAAAAGAGATGCTAAGCCCACATTTGTAAGGGAACAGAGTCATCCAACTCCCACTGAAATCAATTAATGGGAGTTGGTTGCCTCAATCCTTTTAAAAATCTGGTCCTAAGTGACTTTGTGATATATTGCATAGGACTCGTATAGCAAAGCATTGGTAGAATATAGAGTAGAAACTTAGACCCTGATTTCTAGCTTGAACAGTGGCTGACTGTCTAGGTGCATGTGCCCCATTGATATAGAATTTGAACATCTCTCAAATATTCAAAAACAGAAACCAGTAACAATCACAGTCATCACTAACATTTCATATTATTTTTCTCACTCGCCAAAGGGGTTTGTTTTTTTTTGGTTTTGGTTTTTGGTGGGTGGGGGGAAGGGGAGGAGGAGCAAGGGTTCTTCAGAAACTCTTCAAAATAAATTCAAGTTTTATGTCAGTATCAGTCACATCTGAATCTGTCTCATTAAATTTATGACAATTTTAGAAATGCATCTAGTTTCATATAGGGTAATTGGTTCACTTGGATTTTTTTCCTGATAACAGACTAGTCCATAGTTTTCTTAACTTGTGTGTGGTGGGGGGGGGTGAGAGTGGGGTGGGGGGGGTGTAGTGTACCTGTGGAGAAGAATCTCTTGTGTAGGAAGCAAAGTCAAAGATTTGAATTTTTCACTAAATTGTGAGCATGGTCAGGTTCAGGACCATTTTTCTCACTTACAGGAAAGAGCACCACAGTGGTAGGTATAGATCTCACAAAAATGCTGTCTCCTTTACTTAAGTCTCAGTGAGGAGTTCCAGTACCTATCCTAATATGAATTGACTTTGATTGGTATATTGTTTTTAGGTGTCTTCTATAAATCGTTTCCTTTTCAGTAAAAATAATCATAATCCTAAGCATTCTTCTACTGTTTCCCTACTTGAGAACTGGTATCTGATCAAACATATATTTTTAATTATGTTTTTGTAGGCAGATGGGAGAATAGTTTACAGTCAATGTATAATCTTCCCCGCAAATATGGGAAAATTGTGGGTTTTTTAATATGGCCTTATCAGTTTCTTTTTTTTATTACTGATGACTTCATTCTGTTTGAATTCAATGCTTCAGTTTCTTTGGGGTAAACTAATAGATTATGTATGAGATATTTGCACAGCGCTGATTTAATTCATCTGGTGAGTTTGAATGTGGTTCATATATTCACGTAATTGTCAGGAGCCAAGCTGAAATTCAGAACTGTTGCATGAGCATTGGATCAGGCATTATATTCATCTCACATTACTCAGGATTGAGTGGAACTGTTTTATGTTAGGCTAGCACAGCTTTTACTTCTCTCCCAATTTGAAGAGGGGGACTTAGGCCTTAAAAGCAAATATCTGTTTACAGATATTGATGTGGGCAGTGATGGAGAAAAATGATGCTTATCATTCATAGGTTATGGATAAAACAGATTACTGATTATCTGATTATCTGCGTTTATCAAATAAATAATTTTTCTTTCAAAATCATGTTTAGTTTTTATGTTTTGTTGAAGCTTATGGCTGAAATCTGCAGTTGAATTTGAGTCGAGTGTGTAGTTAGCTGAAGAAAAGCAGCCAATGCAGTCTTTAACATGGCTCACTTAGATTTTTGCATGGCCCCCAGCATCATGACGATGGTGATCTAGATGGTCCTTAGTATTGGGAATTCACTGCCACGAGAGTTGTCCTTTTCCTTAAAGCACAATTATGTGGAGTCCTGTGCTGCATGGAAATCTTAGCTTTCAGTTTAAAAAAATAAAAAGTTTTGCCCTTTGGGCTATGAAGAGGAGCTTCAAAACATGTCTTCTACAGGCCCCAAAAAATCAGAGGACAAATTAAAAAGAACCCAGCACTTTCTTTGAAAAAAAACAAAACACCAAAAAACTTATGATTTTAAACCTACCTTAGGGTTTGTTTGGTTGGTTTTTTTGCGGGGGGCAGGCTAATGGATTTTGAATGTGTAAAGTTGGCAGTACTAATTGCAGGTGCCTGGCATGTCGGGTAGGACACTCCCACTTGCCCGTGTCAAAGCAGACATGAAGTTGTAAACCATGCCAGTGGTGTCGTCCCACAGCCACACTTAAACACACCATAGCCACAATGTAGTCATGCCTTAAGACAGCCACATTTACTAGTCCAGGATCCACAAGTAGTCAGCAGTAGCCCGTTTCATGGTAGAATTTCCAGACTAGCTCTGTGCCTCAAAGTGATACTTTTTTATGAAGTTTGAAATAAGAGTGGGCAAGGGGGAGGCAAGAATCTTCCAACATATATTTCAGTAGCGCTCTAGCCAAAACACCTGGGTTTTGAATGTGGCATTTAATTACCTTTAGTGCAGACCCCTCTGAAAATCATATTTTGTTTATGTGACTGCAGTTTGCATTTGCAGTTTAGGTTTGCATGGAGTTCTCTTGTAGCTTGATTGGGATCAGTTCTACTAAATCAGGGTGCATTGCCAAACAGTTTAATTGCTACAATTTTATACAGCTAGTTTTAGATTCATATAGCCTGTAAGCTAGGGATGAGCATTTTTTTCCATTGGGTGGAGGGGATCACAAGTGCCAAACTGAGACTGCTGTTTGCAGAAGGAGTTTGGGGAAACAGTGGAAGTAAATTTTTGGTATAAGAAGGAAAGCCCACAGACTACAGAAAGAGATCTCACTACTTTATGCTTTTGAAAATATGCATAGAACAAGGCTCCTAAGTTCAGCAAGTAGTGCAGAAGCACAAGTAAGGTAGGGCACTTGCGAGAGGATAGAGATGGAAACTGGATGACTGGGAGCAAAGGAAACTAAAATATCGATTATGGGTTCACAGGGAGAGCTATCTATCTTGAGAATAAAGATTTTCATGCTATTTGTTGCCCATTCAGCTGTGGGTATATGCTCAGTGAAATCTGCCTTAATGAAAGCTCTGAAATTAACCTCCACAGTTACTAACTTAGCTACAGAGCTAATAGCCAGTAGATGCTTGCAAATATTTACTATGAAATGGTGTAATATAATGTATGTACCCTGAAAAATTGTTTCACCATGCACAAGTCATACAAATGATTTTTGTGGACTCTGGTTGCAAGATGCTCTTTATAGGAGGTTTTATCTTAATATTCCACAAATAATATAACATATACTTGTGCAATTGAAGTCTGTATTATTATGCATACACACAAAGGAGAAGAGTTCAGGTGCAGACCTATAAAGGGTTAAACATAAGAAGATATATAATGATATATAACAATGTCAGGATTTTGTTGACAGGAAATTTGCGTTGTCCCTCAGCTGTCCCACCCAAAAAAGCCAGTAAAACTTTTATTTTCTCATGTAGTCAGTATTTCCTGTGTGCGCAAAGAAATTCCTTAGTTTTGTGAGTCCAACTGTACTGGTTTTGGAGAAATTTGAGAATGCTAGCTAAGACTGAGACTCAAAACCTTATGCACAAACTTAACTTTACACATCATAAGTAGCCCAATTGATTTCACTGAGACAGTTTACAGCACATAAACTACATATTTGCAGGGTTAGAGCTGAACTACCAGATGTTACTTTTCTCATATATAATAATGACGTGATTTTCTTCCATTATTTCCTGGGCTGAAACCTTAGTTCTTTATATTAAAGGAAGATTCATGTCTTGTATATGGGATAAAACTGTCTTCATGCTTCTTTCTGACCCATACCTCAGACAAATGTAGTTTGAAGGAAATTTCATGTTTAGTGTGGAAAAAGGAAACATTTTTCTGGCAGATTATCATCATTATTATTATTGTTATTATTTAAATGTGCCAGCCATTTATAGTTGCTTATAGGAATGTTAAAAGTTTCCTTGTGCTCCTCCATCTGTCTGTATCCATCTGTAGTCTCTTGTTTTATCCTTCTATTGTAAGCTCCTTGGCCAGGGATAGACTTTTTTCTACTGTATTTGCACAGCACCTAGCATTATGAGGTCTTGATCTATGATTTGGACTGCAAAGTTCTACAGGAATGCAAATAGTAAATACATAAAAGTGGGGTGGATTAGGGGGCAGACATCTAGCTGAAAGAGTCCAAACAGTATGTTGATCATAATGATATCAACACGTAACATGTGGGGTGTTTAAATTTCATTATTTTTCAAAATTTTGCAGTGGCTGTCCAGTCAGCGGGAATGCAGACCGTATCCAGAAACTACGGAAGGAGTACCATCAAGCCAGGCGAGAAGGTTTACCATTCTATGAGGATGACGATGGAAGGATACGGTCATCTGATTATGATCAACACTGGGTAGGTTCACAAATAACCTACCTTTTTTTTTTTTTGCATTGTGAAAAGCTTGTGGAAGATACTGGTTTGTATTTGTTATGAATCTTTGGGTTTTGTAGATATGGAAATGCCTTTCATTCCAAGCCACAAAAGAAGTCCTATATATGTTTTCATTTCACCAAACCTCACTCATATCCCCTCACTGTGTTAGTTTAGGCAGTGGGCCATATTTGTACTATTTCAGAGGAAATCCAACAGGGACAATCATTCCCCAAACACCCAACCACACAAATTCGTATTAGGTTTCTTCTTAGTAGCTGGGTGTAGCCCATTCCAGCTCCTCATCCTGCCATTTCATTTACCAGAACAGCTAGAGTATTAAGAGAACAAAGACTTGAATTATGCCAGGCTGCTGCATGGAAGGGAAGGAAAAGCAAGTGTAAGGCTGAAGTTATATGATACACTTAATAATAAAGGCACTTCAGACATGGGGCTTTGTTACACATTACACTTTAAGCTTCTCAAATGCTGATCAGTGTTAGTGTTAGCTCAGGTTTAGAGCAGTTAGAGCAGTCACATGTTCAAGCTAAAAACCTTCTCTGACTGTCCTTGACCTGCACAGCTGTGATGTGCCACGAGAGGGCTGGTGAGAAGGACCCTGACTAGGAGCTACAGCTGTGAGTTGCCAGTGGAAGGCTGGTGAGCCGGGACAGGCTTCAATCCATGCTCTAGGTGGGGGTGGGTTGGAGAGATGAGTTGGTGGGGCTGGGAGCATGAGGCTGGAAGGGGGAGTGGTTAGTGATGTGTAGTGACATGGGAGATGGAGGGGCAATAGGTGGGAATGGGAGCTGGGTGGTGAAATGAAGGAAGTCAGCTGCTGAAGACACTAAATAATAAAATAAAAAGGGGCAAAAAAATAAAAAGAAATAAAGAGTAAGTGAATTAAAGAAAGTGTCATGTTTAAATAAATTGGGATGGGGATGGGGATGGGGATGAGGATTGGGTAGCCCCAACTCACAGGGATGCTGCCTCTGGCCTAGGAGGAAAGCCCCAGTTCACAGGGATTCCATTCTGGCACCATACCTTGCTTCCCCCTCCATCCCTACTAGTCTTCCCTCCAGGACTGATCTGTGCCCCTGTGAGCTGCCCAGCCAGGTCACACTCCCGGGGATGGGAGGGGGAGTTGGCTTGGTGCCAGTACCACTCTCTGGTCAGTCAAGTTCAGGGGATGGAAAGTTTGTCCACACAGAACAGGAGGGTGGAGGGAGGTGACACCGCATCCTGGGATGCTGGAGGACTAAAACTTGAAGGGTTTATCTGTGGGGAGTGGCCACACGTTCGTGGAATTCAAGCCGGGTAACACATCAGAAATAAGTCTGCCCTGTAGTGGCATAACTTTTAAGACATCTAAATGATGCTTAAAACTAATGCACACATCTTAATGTGCGGATAATCTAGGAGTTAAGTGCTTTCTGAGCCACCTAAAATTAATGTGTAACAAGTTCCATAAATGTCCAGCTGTTAAAGCTCATTAACTTGTACTAAGTGCCCTCTGAGTGTTTCAAAGTCATGCCACTTCAAGCAAAGGTTAACTTTGGGCTATGCTGTCTAGCTTGTGGGCACATCTACACATGATGCTATATTGCCGTAGCGACGTGTTCCCTTGGTATAGCCTGTTGCTATGGTGATGTAGCAGCTAAAAATAACCATGCGCCACGTGGACGGCGCAGTACAGGCTGTTACCGTGCCATAACTTAGTACTTTCAAAACAAAGTACTAAATGAAGGCACAGTAACAATGGAGCCATAGGGGCACATGTAGATGTGCCCTGTGTTAGGGTAACTTCAGTCTGATCCACAGCTGCTTCCACCCATAGCAGAGCCAGGAGCCAGGACACCTGGGCTCTAGCTGCACTCCTGCTTGCCAGCCCTCTAGTGGCCAATCAGATCTGTATAGGCAAGAAGCAGTTTTAACCCTTAAGGCTCAACTGTTCACATCACATTCTACCTTTAACACCATGTAACTTTCCATAGATTTAGTATAGTCTAAGTGTAATGTGTAACTTCACCCTGAGAGATGAAGGTGCCTTCTCCCCCTCAATGTGATATGCATAAAGAGGCCATTAACGATCCAGCCTCGATTCTTCCTTGCTCTCCCAAATTTACTTTTATAAACTGGGGGGGAGGGTTGAAGTATGGGTGGGCGGGGGAGAAATGAGTAGTTTTCCCTTCTACAGAGCTTTGTATCAGAGGATAGAATTAAGCATAATTAGGTATTTTGCCTGTTTTACAATAGGGATTAAAAGTCACAGTGCCTTGATTTACCCTTAGACAATGTCTGTGTATAGTAGAATCAGCAGTAGGATCCAAAACTCCTGATGTCTCTGATGCCGTATGGGCTATATGACTACCATGTGAAATTATGGGTTCAGTACTGTAGTTCTCTAGATTTCTGTCTGAACAAAATCTTTAATATTGGGCCTTAAAATCTATAAAAAATAAACCCAATCAACATTAAAGGAACAAATCTTTGACATGCTACAGTACACAAGGCAGTTTATATTAATTTAAACTTTAAAAAAGTAATAATTTAAAATCTTTGGACTCCATATATAATTCAGTATTTTTTCACATAGTCATTATCAATCAGTCTCAGTTGTTCCAGACTTTTCAAATTTACAAGTTTGAATAGAAAATTTAAATCTTCCAATACCCATGCTTAATTTCTTCAGAAACAATCCTAGAAAAACATGGATTTAAACATAAATATATGTGTTTACAAAATAATACTATTTTATATAAATTAACAGGTATATATGTTAATTAGCTCAGAAAATTATTTTTATATAAGACATTCTGAGTTAATTACCAAAAACATCACCCCCAGCAAAAGAACTGATTCCTTAAAGCAGTTAACTTTAATCTGTCATTTTAAATGTTATGTGCCAAGTGTGGGTATCTCTATAGTTTCTCCTCCTTTTCTTGTAATTTTTTACAAACCCAACTTATAATATTAAATAAAATGATTCTGTCTATCCAAGGCTGAGAGTAAAGAAATAATCAATGTCCTGGTAGATATTACAGACTAGACCAATTACATACCAAATGCGTACTGGCAATTTCTTCTTATCTGAAAATGGTAAAGCTTTATTACCCCTCAGAGAAAGTTCAGATTTATGGTCCAATATAGTTTCTTCAGATTCACGAAGGTCCCTTATGGGTAATCCCTTTTAAGCCTTTCTATTAGGTGTAATGCCCAAAGATTACCAATTTCCAAAGCTTCACTTTTCCTGTGAGGCAAGACGTCCTTAATCAAAACACCCAAGAGAGCTTTAAAGTTCTTGGTCTTAAATTGATTAATATTAGAGTCATCAGGATAGTTCTGTTTCTCCTTCAAAGGCATGAATTTTTAACCCATTTTTGTTGAGAAGAAGAGCAGCATATACTATCTGTTCTGAAGTCTGACCTTAACTTTGGATAGCTTTAATATTCTGAACTTAGTTACCACATCTTAATAGTTCTTCCAGTTAAAATCAAAGGCCTAATCTACTAATGCCTACCCTTCTATGACAGTTCACAATTGGGGAAAATATGAGAATGTCTCTATTCCCATTGTGATATAGCCCCATATTCCAGTTCACAAAGAGAAATGGCCACACCTCCCTTTCTCTTAACACTTGTTTTGAATTTCTTGAATGTCCTTCTGATTTGGGACAGACATTACTTAAAAAGAAAGAAAGAAAGAAAGAAACCTAAAAATAGCTTTAGAAAACCTAAAAATAGCTCTAGAAAGAAAAAAAAGAAGAAATGAAAACAAAAGGCATCAAGTTACTAAAAAGTAAACAATTGTCACAACAACTTCTTTCCAGGAAAGCTCTCAATATACTACATAAGCAACATTAGTTTCTCCACCTCAAACTACTGACCTCTGACAGCACTGCAGTAACGCAGATTGAATAACAGCTGATTTCCTCCACCTTTGCTCATCAGTAAGAAGACAAGCTGATGACTAATTGCATAATAGTAAATAAATAAATACTTACTATAGTCTCCAGTATATTAAGTCTCTCCCCAAAAGAAGTTGCAGACAACTGAGGAGGAGAAAATCCTGCTGGTATGGGCTTTTCTCCTTCCCACGGGAGATTATGTCACCAGGGGAGCTTCAGCTGGAGAAGAGGAGGGCCTTTCTCTATAATTTTAGTGCTAGATTAGTTCTTCCTATGCTTTTGTCAGTCAGTTTTCCTGTAAGATATCTCACTAATATACAGCAGCTGCTATAATAACCATACACCATCTCATGAAACATTCAGATAAATTGTAAAAATAACATAGGATAACTTGAGAAGACACTATCCATGGCAAATCAACAGACTCAGAAATGGACACTAGGTTTTGTCCTCCAAAACTATCAGAAAGCTCATGAGGCACATTTCTATCTGATAAAGCTGACATTGACAAGTGGCCTTTAGCTGACACACTAATGGGACAGAATTTCTGATAGAAGGGCTATTTCTAACAATCTGCTTTTTAAAAAATTGGAGAAATCAAGTTAAAGTGCAGAGCCGGCTGAAAAGCCAGCATTGTAGGAGAAAATGATCTCATGACAGACAATTGGGATCCATAAATGTTTTAAAAATAAGGTCAAAAATTCATTTTAAATAGGCATGCTATTCTGTCTGGGCTATTCTGTCTTTGGCCCCCCCAGCTTTTTTTCCAGTTCTGTTCTGTTCTTATTTGTTGTGGGATACGTTTTTGCTCTCTTGTTCCTTCACTCTCTTTCTGCTTTTCCTTCTTCTCAGTCTGTTTTTTTCTTTTTCTAAGAAACAACTGAATAATTCAGTTTAGTCTAAATAAAGAGATACATATAGATGGCACAGTTTGTGCTGTCTTGCCTGAACTTTTAAAACTCTTTCCAGTTGTTCTATTTTTCTGGTTTGCTGTTTGGTTTTGCTTTCGTTCTGTCTTTTTTGCCCTCCAATTTAGGACTTGGACAAAAAACAGTAAGCCAAATTCATAAGGCTT